AGTGACTGAGAGGTATGTTACATATAGTGAGAGGAAAGTACATGTATGTTACATATAGTAACTGAGAGGTATGTTACATATAGTGACTGAGAGGTATGTTGCATATGGTGACTGACAGGTATGTTCCATATAGTGACTGAGAGGTCCCTACTAGAGAAATGTCTTAGTAAAAGAGATGTAAATTTGTATGCACTTTACTTTAATTTTTCAAAGGCGTTTGACAGAGTAGATAGAACAAAACTATGGGCACTGTTAGAATCGCACGGAATTAGCTTGAAAATGAGTAATCTTTTGAGAAGTATATACACCAATGTTAAAGCCTACGTGAGAAATAATAACGAACTGATAGAATGTTTTACTATTGATTTAGGTGTTAGACAAGGCTGTATAATGAGTCAGTTTTCCTTTTTCATTAATGAATTAGCTACTCAAATACAAGAAAATTGCTCCCATGGTATACAGTTACATCCAGATATTACGGAATTATTTCTGTTGCTGTTCGCAGATGATGTCACAAATTTTTCCACGACAGTGATTGGTTTGCAAAGGCAAATTAATTAACTTGAAAAATTCTGTAAAGAATCAAACTTAGTTGTAAATAGAGAAAAAACAAAAGTTATAGTCTTTAAAAATGGGGGGAAACTAGCATCAACTGAAAAATGGTTTCACAATGGAGAAATCTTGGAAACCACATCTTCCACATCTTAAAAAAATTAGAATTGCACTAGCACGATTTAGATGTTCCTCTCACAACCTTTATATAGACACTGGTAGATATAATCACACTGATAGAAGAGACAGAATATGCACATTGTGTAACACAAATTCAATTGAAGATGAGTTTCACTTTCTCCTGGTATGTCAAGCTTAAAAACATTTACGTGATAAATATTTGCCATCTTTCTACTCTGTACACCCGAATGTCAATAAGTTTGTAGATCTTTCAACTTCATCTATTGGTACTATGTTATGTAACCTGTCAACATATGTTTATCACGCGATGTCACATAGAAACGGAATTGTTAGTTAACAACCACGTCACCTACATGTAAATATGCATTGTACTATAGGCCTGTGGCCTTTTAAGTACTGAATAAAACTGATTGACTGAGAGGTATGTTACATATAGTAACTGAGAGGTATGTTACATATAGTGACTCAGAGGTATGTTACATATAGTGACAGGGAAGTATGTCACATATAGTAACTGGGAGGTATGTTACATATAGTGACTGGGAGGTATGTTACATATAGTGACAGGGAAGTATGTTACATATAGTGACTGGGAGGTATGTTATATATAGTAACTGAGAGGTATGTTACATATAGTGACTCAGAGGTATGTTACATATAGTGACAGGGAAGTATGTCACATATAGTGACTGGGAGGTATGTTACATATAGTGACTCAGAGGTATGTTACATATAGTGACAGGGAAGTATGTTACATATAGTGACTGGGAGGTATGTTACATATAGTGACAGGGAAGTATGTCACATATAGTGACTGGGAGGTATGTTACATATAGTGACTCAGAGATATGTTACATATAGTGACTCAGAGGTATGTTACATATAGTGACTCAGAGGTATGTTACATATAGTGACAGGGAAGTATGTTACATATAGTGACAGGAAAGTACACGTATGTTACATATAGTAACTGAGACATATTTTAGCATATAAAAAGGTTAATATGTTAATTCTGGGTGAGCAACCATCTTCACTTTATATCTATCAAAGTATCAATGGTAAATCATTGTGGAAAACAAGAAAATGAATCTGATGAACACTTGCAATTAGCAGTTTATCCTATGTCCAATAAACGAAATATGAAATGGAATATTAAGCACATACTTTACTTCGTGTCAGAAATGATAAATTATGCAGATACCCCACAAAACGTTTAGAAAAGTTAGTAAAGAAAAGTGTACGGTCGACTTCCATCCTAAAGCTGTGTGAATATTGATTGTTGTGCTTTCATCTAGAGTAGCATTCTCAGACAAAAATCATAATACTTCAAATTTCAGGAAACACCAACAATTTCATCTTCCAGAACGAACATCATCTCCCCCAAGTTGTTCAATCATAGGAATGTGTTGCAGAACGTGGACATGACCGTTCATGGTGTCAATTCCACTACCTGAGATTACCAAGACTCATCACATTGCTATTTTGATCATTTTACCAAAGGAGACTTCACTATTGTTGACAAAAATATCAAGTCGGTTATTCAAATATGGACCCAAATATCGTGAATTGGGATCATTATTGGGATATAATCATTATCTGGATGCTGTCTAAGAACATAGGCCAATAGAGAAGATAAAGCTGTTGAATATCTTTCAGAGTGGGTTAAGTCAGGGAGTGATATCGTCAAGCTGAAAAAGTGTAATTGATAAGGCCTAAAAAACACTACCTTTACATGCATCACAACAGTGCTTGTTTCATCAAAGAACTTAACAAAGGTTTCAAATTGAATAAATACTACATATAAGGCCTGTATATTAACTGAGGAAGACATCTACCAAAATCACGCATCAGTACTATCAATGTTTGGCTTGACTCTAAAACCCGAAGACATGTCCATTCCACTTTTGTCCAGGATTTCAATAAACACATAAAGATCCGTACAAAGAGAGAGATATTTATGGGTCCATCACATGTACCACCGAATCCGTACATCATGGAATAACCGTAATCCTTAATGCCATAAAGAAATGACTTTCTTTATATTCAGGGAAAGTATTTGAGAATAGTGGAATTAATACCATGTGGATTAAAAAGGATGAACTAAAAGTATTTGCTTGAGTTTTTAAAATTTAAAACAAAAACAAGATCAAGTACATGTCAAAACATGTTAATTTTCAACTTTGTACACCGCTATAACAGACGACAAACATAAGAAACACTTCATGCCTTGATCCATTTCTTACTGATCGTCGTAATCAGAGATATAGTTTATGATCAAAGGTTCCGGATAATATGTATGTCTCTGAAGTTTACTGAGAAAGAAATATGTGAGATTCTTGATTACATCACATTTAACAAATATGTGACATGCTGGGGATAATGCAACCCAATGGGCACCAGTTGTGCTAACCTTTCTGCTGATCTGTTTCTTTATGCACATTAGCCGAAATTTCGGCTCGGATTGGCAAAATCAAAACACTTGAACTTGGCCCCGAAATATAACTTGGACCTCAGGTACATCGATGATCTGATATCGTTTAATAATTGTCAAATAACCAATTCCTTTCCAGCAAGATACCCACCTGACCTGCAACTAAAAGAGAACAGAAAAAACACCTGATCTGTTTCATATTTAGATCTATGCACAAAAGGTCAGGGTGACAATAACCACCCACAAGGCCGTACGACAGGAGGAAAGACTTCAACTTTCAAATAGTCAACGTTCGCTTTTGGTCGAGCAATATTCCAGCACCTCCCGCCTTTGGTGTCTAAATTTCACAACTTTTAAGATACAACCGAGCATGCTCATTCTAGCAAGATTTCAAAGAGCGTCATACGAATCTTACTCAAAGGTTGTTTAATCATACTTTCATTAGTTAATTCAAGGTCTCATAAAGGCTTTCAAACGTTTTACGGTAGACTTGTGGAGAACATTTCCAAATTTGACGCATGGGTAACAGAAATGATCAGTCTAACTTTGTGCAGCGAATTATTATCATTCTATCCAATTTGAGAGCCATCTTCAGATTACAGCCTGGTCTCTCTGATTCTTCGTAAATCTTGGCTTGGCGCTAGTATCGATACAAGAATGTTGGAGCGACGTCTTGGGGTGCCGTTTATTAGAAAGGGCAAAAGGAAGCGCATGTGAATTTTGATTTTCATGGAAAGCATTGGGAACTTTGTACCATGGTCGTTTGTTAAGCTACGTTTTGGCGACCCATAATATCCATATTTGTGTCACATTTTGGCCGTTACCATTAAATTTGGATACAGACTAATGTTAAAAAGGAGATACCTCACAAGAATGCATTTATATTTCAATGGGAAACTTTCAATGGGTTATTTTTCTTTTGCGGTTCAGTTTGTAAAGACGACACAATACATTATTAATATTTCAAAAGGTATAGAGGAGGACGTGAAGAAAACATATATCCCCACGTCACATGTTAGCGAGGCTCACCAATTTTTGAGCCCCCGTAGTAATCAAGGTAGACGCTTCTAAGCCCACTGAAGACATCAAAATGTTCACCACTTGCCGCTGAAGTTATGCTGCGAATTAAGCTACACCAGGAAAGATATTCACTAAGTAATGAAAACACATATCTCAAAACTTACGTTTTCACTAATACACATTTTAATCAAGCTTGATCTGATGATAAGTTTGCAGAAACATCGTATGCACCGATGATGTAAACTTCCTGTCTGTAATGTCATGTGACTGATCATGTTGTGCACGTATTTTTAACTTGACTGTAATGGAGGGGCTCGAAATCACGTGACGGTAACAAGATGGCGCCCGATTGACTCGTCTCGCTCAGCGAGTCATTATCAGTGTTAAATCAACAAGACATGTATATTTAACCAAAGGTAAGACCTGATTTTATAATTTTAGATTCTTATAAGTCACGTAGTCAGAAATACAGAAAGAGGGGGCTCGGAAACACATAACACGAGGACAATACAATCTTGGCTAAAGCATGTACATAAGACACTGTACGTTTTATACGTGCAAGTTAGAAAATGGGAAAATAATTTAAGACTCATTAACATATATTGTACGAATGTTTCAGGGTAATTAATCATTCACAACCCTTGATTGATACACACGAAAAGAGAATATCGCTTTACACAAATATTTGATTTGAGACGTATTTATATCTACAAACAAGTTGTATCGGGCCAACAGTGTATCGTCTTTCGTACGCCATGACTACAAACATGTAAGTACGTAGGCAGTCACGTGATTAAGTACGTACTCAGAGCTGTATAAATACGGCCGTATCCTAAACACCCCGCACTGCATCATAACGGCGCACGTCAACGTCTACAAGGCAAGTGGTATTTAATATTCATATTTACACAAAGATCCAGGTGGTCTCAACGCATTTAATTTACTTCCATAAAGACTTTGATGATTGGTCAATTTCGTCTCGAACATCGTGATGGAATTATGTTCTTTAAACGTCAGTTGGCAGATAACCTTATTAGATAGTTTTGCTAGATTTGTTTAACGTCGCACTCAGCAATATTCCAGATGAAGGACGGCGGTCTTTAAATAATCGGGTCTGGACTAGATAATGTAATGAGGGAATAGATTGATTTGCAATAGTTATATGATATATCTGATGGCAGCTGTGGCTAACATTGTTGTTATTGGACTCTCTTTACTTATAAGGGCTGGTTACAGCCACAGCTGCGTAGTTTTGTGATACTGATGAGCACACAACAGGGTGGTTTACCCACGTGGCGAGCTAATCCCGGGTGTACATACATGACAAGGGGAAGGGGGAATAATGGGTAGACCAGGGGTCAAACGCACCGCGTTTCGCTGTTGAGAGTTGCATACCTTAGCGGACAAGGATCCTATGATTGACGGTTTCACTAAAGTGGTAAACGTCTTATACATACGCATAATAATACTGAAATGATGTTGTACGAGCGTAAAAACCTACTCGCTCATAAACCTGCGGTGGATGTTCCGTGAATGGCTTGTGCCTTATGTACGTGAGTGTTTCCCGACACGCCGTCATTAAACTCAATTCGGCGTGAAACCAAAATCACCCAGAGGGTCAGGTGATCATTTTTAACAAACACTATCATCTCAGTCTTTATAAATCTGTCACAAGGGAATAAAACGTAGCTGTTCTTTCACTCATAAATACTGAGTTTGCAATAATTCCGCCATATCTTAGCGGGTATCAATGAGGATCCATAAAGCCTTTTCATGAACTGCATGGTTACCGGGGAGGCAATGGGTCACTTTTTTAAGTTTTAGCAAGAGAAATACTTAAAAAACAAAATAATACCCCTAAACAAAGGTTTCAAATTTGTAAACAATATGCTTCAGCATCCAGTCACATATTTTCCATTTTGATTTCAGATCCAGTGTTGTTTTTTTCAGTTTTTCAGATTTTAACCGTCTTAATCCCCCAAAGAAGTAGTACCTGCCGAACAAACGCAGTGATGAAGCCTTACCTTACAGGTGAATTAACTTAATGGACAATGTGGCAATATTGATCGGTTCAATCACTGTCGACTATCCAAGATTATCTCGTGACAAATTGACAGCTGTTCCGTGGCAACAGCTACCTCTTCCATTGCTTCACATACATCTGGAGACGCATACAGAGTACTTCTACCAGATTGTATGGCAGGAATCGATAGCGTGTTAACCATGAATCAAATGACATCAATGTGATATGTTGATATTTCTAACACATATGACATTTGACACTTATTTAAACGTTCCCTGCGTTAAAGCGCTCATGGGGTTCGAAGTTTCTTTAACAAATATCCCTGATTTTGAGACGATAAACACCACAAACCCACTGTTATCTGTTTAACATTAATCAAGTGAGGATCTACTGCGATTGTACAGCACTTGCCGGCAAGTACAATTCAAAATCGGTTGCGTGTGTAAGAGTAAATCTATTACTTTTCCCAGCGTAGATGCAACGAAAGGTTAAAACACGTTGGGGATTAATGTTGGGGGTTTGATAATGTTTGAACGTTCAACAGAATAACTTCTACCTCTATCGCCCCAGGGCTTGGCCTGGTGTCTCTGCTGTTCATCAGCAGCGTCTACAGCTGGCCAGACAACCACGGAGATGAAGACGATGACAATGGTGATATGATAAAGGCCGAAGGTATGGGTGGAATGGGTGGCGGAAGATACGCTGGCATTGGAGGAATGGGTGGTATGGAAGGTGGACGACCCGGTGGTATGGGTGGTATGGGAGGTGGACGACCCGGTGGTATGGGTGGTATGGGTGGTATGGGAGGTGGACGACCCGGTGGTATGGGTGGTATGGGTGGCGTAAGACCCGATGGTATGGGAAGTATGGGGGACGAAAGACCCGATGGTATGGGAGGTATGGGTGGCGGAAGACGCGGTGGTATGGGAGGTATGGGTGACGAAAGACCCGATGGTATCGGAGGTATGGGTGGCGGAAGACACGGTGGTATGGGAGGTATGGGTGACGAAAGACCCGATGGTATCGGAGGTATGGGTGGCGGAAGACACGGTGGTATGGGAGGTATGGGTGACGAAAGACCCGATGGTATGGGAGGTATGGGTAGCGGAAGACGCGGTGGTATGGAAGGTATTGGTAACGAAAGACCCGATGGTATGGGAGGTAGGGGTGGCGGAAGACGCGGTGGTATGGGAGGTATGGGTGTCGAAAGACCCGATGGTATGGGTGACGAAAGACCCGATGGTATGCGAGGTAGGGGTGGCGGAAGACGCGGTGGTATGGGAGGTATGGGTGGCGAAAGACCCGATGGTATGGGAGGTATGGGTGGCGGAAGACGCGGTGGTATGGGAGGTAGGGGTGGCGGAAGACGCGGTGGTATGGGAGGTATGGGTGGCGAAAGACCCGATGGTATGGGAGGTATGGGTGGCGGAAGACGCGGTGGTATGGGTGGCGGAAGACGCGGTGGTATGGGAGGTATGGGTGGAGGAACAAGCGCCAGTATGGGAGGTATGGGCGGCGGAAGACGCGATGGTTTGGGTGGCGGAAGACGTGGTGGTATTGGAGGTATGGGTAGTAGAAGCCGTGGTGGTATGAGAGGAATGGGTGGAGGAACACGCGGTAGTATGGGAGGTATGGGTGGCGGAAGACCCGGTGGTATGCGTGCTATGGGTGGCGAAACAAGCGGTGGTATGTTTGGTATAGGAGGTATGGGTGGCGGAACACGCGGTGGTATGCGAGGTATGGGTGGCGGAAGACCCGGTGGTATGGGAGGTATGGGTGGCGGAAGACCCGGTGGTATGGGAGGTACGGGTGGCGGAAGACCCGGTGGTATGGGAGGTACGGGTGGCGGAAGACCCGGTGGTATTGGTGGTATGGGTGGCGGAAGACCCGGTGGTATGGGTGGCGGAAGACCCGGTGGTATGGGAGGTATGGGTGGCGGAAGACCCGGTGGTATGGGAGGTACGGGTGGGAGAAGGAGTGGAGGTAATGACAGTCGAGCAGCGAAAAGAGAGCGTATAAGGCAACGACTACAAAAGAGAAAACAGAGAAACGAAGAACGTAAACGGAAACGAGAGCAAAACAAGATCACCTTCGTGGTGAAGGGCATGACCGACTTCACTGCCGGAAAGTATGAAAGTGAGTAAAATAAATGACACTTATTGTTGTAAATTGTTAGGAAAGAAAGTTTTACTTGGAGTCCATTTAGGCTATCCTCTGCCCTGGTATTAACGCGAACAAACTGTACCCTGTGGCCTGAAAACTGTATAAATGTGTCAAACGTATTATTTAATATGAAGACTGTGACAAAACAAAATATCGCTGTACCAGTTTATGATCAACTGTATAAATACGTATACGTTACTAGGATAATCTGCATTTTGTGTATTTTTTTGGTACTTTGGCTGAACCTATGTTATACGAGTCGAAACATTATCGCGCTCATCCTGAGTTCCTTCTGTTCTGATCCCTACGGATATGTTAGTAAACATTGAGTACCTTTTTGGTAAAACCCCCCTTGATCCCTCTACAAATGTGCCTGGTAGTTGTAATATCATGTTTGATTGCATTCAAATTCAAAAGACAAGTATGTTGATATGTATGAAGCGACAGAAACATCGTTATTTTCTTCTTGTACTGAATTTCTTTTACTTTGATGTTTACAGAGGACAGCACCTTGATGAATCTTTACTTGAACGCCTACAATAAAGGTGAGCTGAAGAAACGTGCACGCCTCCCTCCAATATACACGTATACAGTTAAATATTTGTTGAGACCAAGATAAAGTAATTATCAAATTGTCATCCCCGTCCGTCTCAAAACAAAAGATCGCAATGTGTTACCTTCTTTACTAATTAATGAAATACACCCACGAACGTATATGTAATCAACCACACCTTCATGTTTATGTCAACAGATTCCTTGAACACTTTGTTTGAAAATGATTTGTATGATACACAATATCGTGACACGGCCCAAAGGTGGCATGTTACCTGATTCCTTGTCTTGTCATCTTACTTCCATTTATCACATAACAAGACATAGCGTAGGATGCTATACATATTTTTCATATCATGTTGACATAGGATACATATTTGTTTATTTGACAGTGGTTAGTATTCTGGGCAAGCGACGAAACATCCTAATGAACAAAAGTATGTATAACCATTTGAATATACACAACACATGTATGTCTTCGTAAACAACCAAAGTATGACATTGATTTGTGTGAATCGTTACGCTTCTGTTATTCCCCCAAAGACCGCAGTGGTTCATAGAGACCACCTGAGCCCTGTCAATGTGATTCATCGTAGAGAAACCATTCTCAATAACAGTGCAGTGTTACCCATCGTAAATGATTCATAATGAGCACTACATCGTAGCCTTTCTATATTTTCAGTGAGAGTGTCAAATGTCAAAGGACAAGGTAAGTCTTCGATCCGTGTAACAACGTAATTTATTTAAATATGCAAAGTTAAACATGTAAAGGTATTAGAAATATTTCCTCAACCTTCAAGGCACTATCAGATTTTTGAAAGTTCCTTAATAAAGGAATTATTTCCTGTTACATCGACAAACATTATCAATAACATTTTTCATTGCAGTAAGGTCGTCAATAACTCTCGGATCATTCAAGCGTAGCAAGTCAGGTAAAACTAAACGCATTTTATTACTGCTCTTGCTGGTTACTATTATCCTTAGAGAGAGGGTAAAACCTTTCACTCATGCTCCCTATGTCGAGACAAGCAACGTGCTGGTATTAAACCACTGTTCAAATAAGGACAGCAGTCATAATGTTACAACGTCTTTAATTAACTGCTTGTAGCAATTGGAATTCAACTCAATGAGTTGAAATGATGTTGAATGTGAATGTCTAGTCATGGTTTCAAAAGAACAGAATTGAGTAGTTACATGTGTATTAATAATATTATGTCAACTCTGATTTGCAGTGTCGGACAAATGGAACATAAAATGCAGAAACACGTTCGCTGACTGTAAGTGAAAGGAAAAGCTGATTTGCGTAATTAAATTTCCTCGTTCAGTGGCTTTGATATGGCTGACTAACACTTGATGCTGCAACATGACCTGACTGTCATAGATGCAGCTGGCTTCTCTCAATAATGATAATAATACTAATGACGATGATGATGATGATGATGATGATGATGATGATGATGATGATGATGATGTTGCAGTGGTTGAAAAATTCGGTGAGAATCCAACAGGAAGAGACGCGGAGAAAGGTATTTTAATGAACATTTACACCAGTCATTATAATTGAGTTAATACACTAGGCTAAATGAAAACAAAATATGTTATAGCTGTGTGAATGTTCCAATGACTATATGTTGTTAAACACACGAGCCAGTTATATTACAGTTAGCAGATGACGCCCTGTACATATATGAGCGTGGACAAAACAGTGGTTAGGGATGATTTTGGTTATGCAGCTGTCAGGCAACGAGTTGAATTGTGACAAGCATTGAGGTCCTAGAAATGTGTTATTACCGAGAATATTCATGGAAATTCATCTTCAAAATTGGAGTCAGTGAGTTACTTTGGTTTTGTTGCGCTTTAAACAGCATTCCAGTTGTATCACTACTTGTCAGCTTGGTATGGAACTCGGCGTGATGCAAGGGATGCAGGTTGGGATTCGAACCCATGATCATTGATGTTTTGCACGCTTTAGGAACTCAACTCTGCACAGCAAGTTGTGACGCCTTAGACGACTGATCCAGCCTTGACCCTTTCTGAATAGAGAACCCGTTTTTTCTGACAGGAACTTTTATTCAATTTTCAGCCAGGTCTATGATAGATAGAATCACCGGACATTACATCACCGAAGGTAAAATAAATAAAGTAAATTAATTAAACTCAAAAATATTTGTGATTCAAAGGCTTATTGTTTCATTTGAAAATTATACTTTCGTTAACGCAATGAGTTGTTAACAAGGTTGAATATTATAGTTGTGAACATATTTCCGTTAGACATCAAATTAGTTTGTATGGCAATGCAGATCTCTCAGTGGAAGGAAATCAATGTATATTTAATATTGTTCAATTGTTCATTTATCAAACAAATGGTTCAATACATCGTAATAACTTATATGCGTCTAATCTTCACTTTCCTATTCTGTTTCTATCCCTTCATTCTGCCAATTCTTGATAACTGAATAGTGTAAATATTATTCAGAGGGTGGACAACTTGTACCCAATCTTGTACCGTTTGTGAATAAAAGATAAAACAAAACCTCGCAGACTCAGTATATACATCATATCAAGCGTAAACAACATCCTTACGTTAAGGTACGGCCTTAATAATGTACCCTTACCTCTATATAATGTATCTAATATTTCGTGTTATTTCAGTGAAGAAGCTGTTTGATGAACTCAGCAAAAAGTTGGACGATAACGGTACGTTTTGATATAAAGTAGGTTTTAAAATATAACGTGTTCTATCGTTTTATGTTCCTTCAGCGTATTATTGGATTATAACCCAGAAGTCTTGTAGATTAGCATCGTGTCATTAAAAATAAACAATAATGTTCTTTTATTGTCCGTTCAGACGAAGGCTATTACATTGATGCCGTGAAGCAAGATGCCGGCAATGCTGAGAGTAAGTATCAGTAATCTTGTCAAAAGTTTCATGAAGCTGTAAAGTTCATCAATAATGTTCACAAAATACAAAATTATAGTAAAATATACACTATAAATTTGAATTTTTCTAGTAGCTAGTTTTTCGTGAGTTCGACGGATAATATATATGCACGTGTGTCATTTATTTATCTAGATATAGGAAGTTGTACGAAGTGATCATTCGAGATGTTTTAATGAGTATGGCATATGTACAAATAATATGAATATATTATAGTTACTTAGATTGTACGCTCTAAACTACCAATAATGGGTGGATGTATTTTGATAAGATTCATCTTCGTTGGTATAATCACATTTGTCAATGTTTTCTTCTACAGAGATGCAGGCCATGATTATGGACGTGAGAAAGATTTCATCAACTAGTATGTGTTCTTCAACATTTAATCTTCCTTTACATAATGCAAATCGATTACTGAAATTGAACTTATTGTCAACAGGCATTTGTAAAACACCATCAATTATCTTTTCACGCCCCCTTTATGAGTTTGGATCTCACACACAGGAAACTTAAACCTGCTGAATGTTGTTTCAGTTGGCTGTGCAATCCAAGAGAAGAAAGCAGATCTGGAGCCGTGTAAGTGAAACATATTTTGACTGAAAGCAGAAGGCACCCTTTATTTCAAACAAAAACATAGATAAGGTTAACACACATGAACTGGTTCATATTTTCATCTATGTAAATGTGACAGCGAGGTACCCACAAGACTGTGACAAGACAAGACAAAAGGAAAAACTTCAACTTTCCAATAGTCAACATTCCCTATATATTGAGCAATGTTTCAGCAGCTCCAGCTCGTGGTGTCAACATTTCAGAACTTTTTAGGTTCAGTCGAACATGCTCTTTCTGCTAAGATTTCAAAGCGCGTCATACTGCCCCTTGCTAAAACGTTGTTTGATCGGAGTTATATCATTCAAGGCCTCTACCTTTTTCTAAAATGATGCAAATGGCTATGTCACTTGTATATACACATATCTGCGTCCGTCAAAGGGTTGCAAGTTTGTCTGTTATATTACGCCACAGAAAAATAGTTCATGTCGGCCATGGCTAGACAAAACAGAGATTGATTAATATTACGTCTGTTGTACGATATCAAGTCACCTAGTCCGACAACTCCATCCTGATCAGTGGCCTCTAACGAAAGGTTAAAGCTACTTGGGACCAATTCTGACCCGATGTAACAGGCCGACACAACCCCCTGGCCAGTTCTTCCCCGGGGAAGGTTCGGCCTTGACCACTCACTTCTTCCCCTCTCTTGGCTCTAACCTAGGTCTTTTCAGTTTTACCCTGGGCCAGTTCTTCCACTCTCTTAGATCTAACCTAGGTCACTTCGGTCTAACTCTGGTCCAGGTCTTCCTAGGTCTTTAAACATATTAAAATGGGTCACTACAGTATGGGTATTTATGATGCTACACAACATACCACATATGTATATGTATATTGATGGGCATCAGTCATTAGTATGAATGGCCTCAGTGCCCTGATCACTGATGCTTATTGATGTTCATTTGATTATTTTAGATCACGATAGAAAACATGAGCCCACTGCAGCAGAAGCACACCTGATAAAGAGGCTAGGGTCTGTCCGCATGAATGGTATGTTATTGTTTCGTCCTCAATGTCAGTTATAACATTTGTCCAGAGATAAAGATGGAGACTGTAAAACAAAGGATGGAATCTCATTGACACTGTTAATGTAATAATTGTAAATGAAAAACCATCTGCGGATAGTGAGTGTTATGGGAAATGTCGATGATGATGTACACTGTGTGCCACCTGTGGGTGTAAAGATCAATGTCATAGACAGTGTATACAGTGCGTCACTAGTGAGTGTCAGGGTAAATGTCATGGGTGATGTATAGTTTGCCCCACTAGTAAGTGCTAGGTTAAATAATATCACGGACCATGTAATTTCAATGTAATGTACTAGAGTTGCGCATACACGTTAATCAAGTTAAGATTACGTGTATTGTTTTTTACAGCTATAAGCGCATTCATGGACTTCCAAAAAGAGATCATGGCAGACAGTAGGTGTTTACTTTACATTCTTTATCAACGTACATAATCATACACTATATTTTATAGCTTTATTAACTGTGCCTAGTCACCTACAATAAGTAGGGCCCGCTTTATCCTGGCCCGCTAAAATTTAAAAAATTCAACTTTGAAATACCTGGTGTATGATGCAGTGGTGATTTTTAAGACTGGTGCTACCGGGCTTGGCGGTGTGCGGTGATTACTTAGAGAAGCCTTCTGAGAATTTTCTGTTTCAAATTTACTCTGACTTTCGACATTCGTTCAATTGGCAGAGAACTGATTTGGAACCCTTTGGTATTTATATATTTATATGTTTGAGCATTAAATGACTGATAAATTTCACATGTTATTACACAATTGCCCATATTCCTAACTCGAGTGCAACCTGATGCAATTCTTACATATACCATTCATGTTCTTATATAGCAGGACATATTCTGTCATCTCTCCACGACGCGGATAAATAATATTATTTGGAAAGCGTCATTGAACATGATTTATTGGGATATGACAGTAATATGTTCTTGTTTGTTTTGAATTCAGTGAACAAATGATATTCTTTTCTGATAATATAGACTGTATATATCACTCAGGGAAAGTCATATGAAACTTTATGCCCGAACCGCTTATATTTACCTAAATGACATTATCGTTTTAAGAGTAAGATAATTATATGCATAAGAAAAAATATTATATGAATAATAACTTTTATCTTACTTGTCCAGTAATATGTCCGCATCTGAATAAGTTGACAATGTCCCTCCTTGATTCACTGCTCATGTAGAGATTAACTTTGTCAAAGTCACCCGAGGAGCTAAACATGTCGCTGTACAGTCATATATCCTGTATGCATTTCATTTCAACACAAAACTATATTATTAGATCTATTTGAAACAAAGTGATGCATATAGTATATTAAAAATTTACCCTTTGACTACCCCTTACACTGATGACACAAATATAACACTTTAGTGTAAGGTATATTTTTGGTGAAGACCGTGACGTTTCCGTGTCTCTTGAAGCATATGGAAATTCTAAGACAAAACAACAATCTAAGTAAAAACTAAAGAAAAGTGATTCATGGTTGGTCATTTAGAGACATGTCCTGAGAGAGAAAGAGTGAGAATAATTATAAATCTAACTTTAAAATTTACTTAATTTTAATATAGCATAAGCAAATTACAATATAATTGAAATAGGGTGAATCTAGTTACAGTAAGACATAATTGTCAATAAAATTAAAATTAAAGTATTTTGAGAGAGACATGTTTGGAGATGTACACATGTCACACAAGTCCATAATAGCAAATAAAAATATCTTGATTTACATGAAGTAAATACAACTATAACATAGAAGAACACACAAGCCCATAATGAAAAACAAAGATATCTTGATGCAAATGGATTAAGTGTCTACATTTGTAAATGACCTCATGTAGATGCAGATTACTTTTAACGCAGTAGAATGAATTCAGTGAAAGATATAACCGCTCAACAAATGTTTTCCAATATGCACCTTTAATTACAAATATAAATCAAAAAGAGCAATATCTCATCCGAAACACTTATCCAGTTTTACTAATTCCCCCAAGATCTCCTAATTGATATAAATCTTTAAAATATTGCATGTTCTAGTTATGGATATATCATCCAATGTAATAAACCTAAAAGTCAGCAGAAGTGGGAAAAACTCAAAGATAATAGTTAGTTTTCTTACAAAATGTGAACACGCATTATAATATTTCTTTCAATACAACAAACATAACACAATTTAGATGATTTCACTTTCAAAAAGTCAAAAGAATGCATGGAATATATCTCATCACAAAGGTGTACATACTAGTATTGTATTACAAAGGTAGGAAGGACTTTCCATTTGTTTGGGGGATTTCAGTTTGTTACACAAGTTTGGCAAGACCTCCAAAATTGGATCACTTTCTCTTCTCTGTCATTACTATTAATGTTCATTTTACACCCATTTTCATTTGTATTTCCATATGTCCTGCATTATATGAATCAATATATTTCTGACAGACAGCCCAAAAGACCGCTCACACGCTGTAGAAATTGAGCAACTGAGGAGCGGTGAGTATGTAAATTATATATATATGGTAAATAAGAGTAAAGTTTCAAAACATTTGCATCAACACGATTGTTCGGTTAATAATTCAACGGAAATGAAGACATATGCACACAAGCAAACATGTACGCTCGCAGGTACACACGCATACCGACTCTATACTTTACGAGTTAGAATGTTAACGACAGAAAGCATAAGGTATGCATAATGACATTATTTATTCCTAAACACACTGTCCTGATCTCCGTTACCAGGTCTGAAGATCCTTGAGGTCAAGAAAGACGAACTCATCAAGAAAGGTTTGTTGCTTGATCAGCGCTGCATCACGTGTTTACTTCCTGGATCAGCGCTGCATCACGTGTAAATACATTGTACATATAATATTTATCTATATCTATATCTTTATCTATATCTATATCTATATACCATACAAATTACCATTCAATAAGTCAAGTCTATTTTGATTATTTTCATTTTTTACTTACTTATCCATTTTTCTTTACCATGACAATCTACAATAAAAGAGTTATACACACTGGATACACATTGTTAGCATGTAGCTTTCATCATATGAACAATTTATAAACAAACACATAACGAAAAATGTCTATCCTACCTTTCAGCCATTGATGAACTCGAAACAATCGTTGAGGAAGAAAAAGGTACATATCAGTATAGGTTGACTAAAAAAGTAAAAACTATCCAATTATCATATATGCGTTGGTGAACGTTTTATGAATTACTGATACAAAATGTAATGTATGACTCCATCTCTAACAAATGTTATCAAAGGGGCAAATCCCCATACCCTCAATGACTGTGCACGTGGTGTTGCTGTTAATGTGTTAGGTACCCGGAACTGTGCTCTGCATTAACGGGTGGAGACGTTGCTAAATTCTGTTTAAGATAGATTTGTGTTGATGTTCCAGGACCAAGATCGACACAATAATTATATATAAGCTCGTTTCCCTTTAAACCGATATATATTGATATGTGTTCTTATATATGCACAGTAAAGTTCGTATTCTATGATGTACATCGCATCATGGATATAATAAACCTTTTTATATTGTGTTCTTGCAGTTGACCCTGAACTTCGTCCACGTAAGTATTCATTAATGTCACATTCAAACAATTGCAATGAGTTAAAGTATGTGTTTGACATGATTGTAAACTACAGAATAAGTGTCTTAATGTAATAAATGCAGAAAATTAATGCTCATTGCAGTGAAAGAAAAACTCTCGGAAATAGCCCAGAATATTCTTGAAGAAGGTGAGTTGACTTCTGATGCATCCTTGATATAAACTAAACAGTGCGACATTCATCAAATATTACTACTACTAATAAAGTTAAACCGGCAATCACAAATCGAGGTGAATTGTTTATGTTTCATATGGTATGAGTCACGTTTATTTAAAATTGTTTCTTTATGTGTATACTTTAATGAAAGACAATGCGTTGAAAACTTGTTTTGTTACGCAATCATATCAGGTTAATGTACAATCTATACACAGTTGAATTGTGCGTAAACTAGTGTGTAAATGTTGTGTAGACTGTGTATATTACAATGGGTGTAGTGACTACCTCGTGTTATATTTCACCGGTTAAACAGAGAAGACTTCAAGAATGCCCAAGATGAAAGCCATCATGGATGACGCGATCGGACGAGTAGGTGGGTAGCTGCACCCTGTACACACGGTGGTGTTGATAGTGATAAGATATCTCCAAAGAGTTTTGGCGTTTTTCAGGACCCAAATACAAGCATCATCGTGGTCAGTTGCTTTCATTACTGTGCACGTGAGGCATACACCTCCACGGTATCTTCTAAAGACCCACATTTTTGCAAGCATTAAACTTACACACTGTGGTATAATTGCATTACTCTGAAAAAAACCCAGCATCGTTAAGACCTATATATTCACTCACTCACTCAAGCTAAAACTAGTTATTTATTGACAGTGTGCAGAACAATATTTTTCATAAACCTAAAAGCGAAATGAAATAAATCTTTCTGAGATATTCTAAAAGGTAATTGATATTTCAGGTAATAAGCCGGGCGCAGGTACAATCGAAGGTCTGCTCCGTAAACGATCGATCAATGGTGAGAAGATACCTTCAAAACTTATGTTTAATGATACTTGATAAAAACCAAAAAAAATATCAATTACATATCCATTCTGATTTAATTAAGGATTGACTGTGTATTTTTTTCAGTTCATTGAGGTATGAATCGAAAATCCGGTATGCAAACTGTATGAATCCGCGTAGGTGGTAATCAATACAGGTTACCTGTGTACAACAATTCAAGCCACAGTCATCATAACCACAAATAATTTTCATTTAGAGTATGCTGGTATCCAGAATAAAATCGGAAGGTGCATTACCAAAGGTAAGAATGATGTTACATAATCTCCTTTATGTTCACAACACGTCCGAGTCTATGTTTCAGATAACGACTTACATACATTTCTCGTTTATATTGCACACCTCTGTCTAGAAGTTAATTCACGCTTACACGCGCTGAGAACGTAGAATTGTCAACTCATGTGAAATGTACTTCACATGTTGTCCACGGGTTGAGCTCCTACATGTGCCACTGATGAGCAACACGTGTGCGACGAGTGTTTAAAAGGTATAATTCAGCATCAGAAAGACATATCAAACTACCATCGGTATATGAAACTCTCCATATCTATAGTCAAAATTGTTACAAATATTTCAGATGCAGACATGCATAAATCTGCCAATATAGGTATTGTGATGTCTAGTGTTTGATAACGGTGTATGGCCAGACAAAATGAAACAATGACGATGAACTCCCGACAATGTCAAGGTGGATGAACTGAAATGACAGAAAAGAAAAGCATAATACTAATATATTCATATTTTTCTTATGCATTCCTCTCCAGTTCTTGGTCGTTTTGGAAAGACAGGAGATTCCCTGGAGCAACAAGTGGAGAAAGGTATAATTGCTGCTTACAAGTGTCATGGTTGAATTGGTGTCATGGTTGTGTATTAAACCATACTAAAATCGATATCTGTGACTAGTATGACGACATATCATTGACTGTGTGTACGCTGATGTTCTGTTGTTATTAGTACAGACCATACGTCCTCCCAGATCTACAACTAAACAGGCCAAGTCCTCATTTTAAGCAATGAACTTATTGCGCGCACGTACGAGGAAAAGTACCAACGCAGTTTTTACACTTAAATACATTCTTATTAATGTGACATTAAAATATTTTCAACAGCTTCCCCATCACTGAAGTCTATGATTCTGAAGGTAATGGACAAAGGTAGGTATAAACATTTTTACTTTATGCAGTACTTTTCACTCGGTCTATGTTGAAAAGCCATCTGATATTCAATATATCCTTTGGAAAGAAGTACGTCATATTAAACAAAAGTATTTAATAAGTAGCCGTTTACAGATTCAGCCTCATTTGTGTCATGTCTCTGTTTACAGCCTTGATAAACCTCCAACATTTTGCTGATGAAAAGATAAAGGACTTGGAAGCAGGTAACAAGATATTCATAGCTGATTGTTTTCCCTCAGCCTTTTTTCAGTTTTGGTTTTCGTTCTCCTTTCCTTGTGCAAATATAATTCTAAGGATGTGTTGTATCACCGACAGACATAAACGTGATACGAACCAACGGGATAATTTAGAATCCTGCCTTCTCATCGAATTTAATCTGGATGATATGTGTTTATGCCCAAAGAAACTGTTCCTTTGAATGAACTTTACCTAGCTGATTAACAACAGAAATGTGACTCACTCCAATGTGCCAGTGTTCTAGATTGCCTAATTCCAATTTCCTAATATTACTTTGTGTGAAAATAAAGACAAGTTCTCAATCCCTTTTCCAGATGATAACATGTTTTGGTTTTTATATTCCGTGTCAATGTTAACAAAAGACCTAACATTTACATTGAACTGTGCTATTGCTGAATCTGCTTTCAGTGAGTGGGTATGGTTTTATGCCGCTTTTAGCAATATTCTAGCAATATCACGGGTCACTAGAAATAGACTTTAGACATTGTGCCCATGTGGGAATCGAACACGGGTTCTCGGCGTGACGAGCGAACACTGTAGCCATTAGGCTACCCCACCTCCCCTGAATCAGCTTTCAAGGGTAGATACAAGTAGCAGTGTACATTATGTACATCCTTCAGGCATCTTGAGAGAAACGAACTAGTGACATATATGTTTCTTAATAGTACACTAACCGTAGATTCACATGGTTTAAAATAACCGTTCTAATTTATTTCCTCAAAATTTAAAGATATATTTTTGGGAATATTAACAAACCTTTTATTGTCATTCCTGGAATGAATGTCCTTGTTTTAGGAAATGGCATATTCGGTAAACTGAACCAACTGCACAAAAGGCCAAGAATGTAACGCAGAACTTCACGAGCTGGGAGGTAAGAATCTCTTGTTTTTGATTGTTTATTGTTTTATGCCACAGACAACAATATTCCATCTATACAACAACGACCTGTAACAAATTGAGTCTTGGCTAGACAACGCCCTATGACTTGACCACCCGATCCATTTATTGGACTTGTGACAAGCAAAGCTCACATTGGAGGTGAGGTGAGCTGAAGTGGGGCTTAACGTTCAGTTCAAGATTATTGCACTTATATGACGACGCGCATGAACGTGTGTGTGTGTGTGTGTGTGTGTGTGTGACTGTGACTAGTCGGGACTACTGTCGACTTTATAGTGCTAGTCCACTGACACATCATGCGGCAGTTTAACATGAATACCCCACTCGGACATAGTATACTGACTCCGACCCGACCAGTCCTTGTTTAATCCCTTCCTGCCAAGCAGGGTAACACGAATCTTTTATTGTATTTTGGAATGACGCGGCCGGGGATCGAGCCCCGGATCTCCGCTCTCAGGGCGGAGGCTCTACCACTAGACCATGGAGGCGGTCCCTTACATTGGACCAATTCTGTGATATATATAAAGTTTGTTCATTATTGTTTTGTACTTTTAAAAAAATGTAAATGTTAAAGAGTCACTTGATATGCTTGGCTGAGCATTTGAACCGCCTTAAGCAGAATATCAGCGTTATCACACCAGAAAGCCTCCAGAATGGGTTTCACAAACTACTACCACATTGGGAATCGAACCCGTACTTAGACGTGATGAATGCTGAATTAACTAGGCTAATCTATTGTTCAGAACTGGGATTTGATGAGCGCATTGCGTGGCAATTAACTTTGGAACATTCTATTTTACAATGCCATTATTTTCAATTATTTTAGAAGTGTGGACAATATTTTTCACGCCGAAGTCAACATTACAACAGTGATGTAACTGTGGTTCCTAAGTTTGGGTATATATTGTAAATTGCTAAAAAAACAACTTTTTTTCCTTCACAGGATAAGCGATTGCACCAAATAAGAAGGCTCTGTACCATACAACAATCACGTTCTACACAACGCCTGTGAATTCTACTAAAGACTCAAATACGATCTTATCAGCCTGCGTACCACATAAACTGAAGACAAGCTGTATATATTTAGTCGCAGGTTAGGTCAACACCATGTTAAAATATATATAAATGGCAATCCCTAATCTATACAGGCTGAAGTTTTTGTACATGAGCTTACGATGAATAAAATTTATTGCAACTCTGTGATGTCATTGACTGTATTGGAAATGAAGTATGAGTGAACAATCGTCATGTTTTCGCTGTTACCAATGGTCGTTTACTCTACCTTCTCTGCACGATCCGGCAAATGTACCACCAAGTCACAATTGCAACAACTGTACAGGAGACAAGTAGTTAATCACATGTTGATCTTGAAAACTTCAAGACAGTTGAAGTCACACATTTTGGGACCAGGACAAAATTTTCAAGCTTGAAAAACTTTTGAATTTTCTAACCTTTACACAATTTTTATCAACAGGGGTTCTGTTTCCATGTTAGGAGTTCTGAAATTTGTATTACAAATCTTTTATGGGAAATTAAGAGATATTTAGTTTTATAATATAATGGGTAGGTTCCTTGGCAGGATAAATCCAACGGATATAAACGATATATGTCGGGGTCATATACGGATAGAGATGCAAATATCAAAAGTCAAGTAGGGACTACTTTAAGTGTTTACAAACAAACATGGCTCGACCTTGTCATTCGGCAATCCTAATAGTTTAATATACTAACATCAGTGTCTTACTGTGACGTAGCTGGGGCATTTTACTAGTTGTTACAACTTTGGAGATATAAACTGCGAAACAATTTAGCGAAGACACCAGCGTAGCAGGATCAGTTTCCATATCTGTGCTTGTAAACCTCTGCGGTATGGAAACTTTTCCCCAAATTAAAACAGTTGTATTTGGCCGAAATATGTCTCAATTGCTACCTTGTTTCGTTTTGTCGACGTGTGTACATCTTAACTGCTCTTCTTAATGCTATGGCAGAACAAACGTGACATCTCATAGACTATGATTAGAGTAGCTTCCCTTTGATAAAGGACAGATACTCCAGCGGACAGAACGATGGCTTGTCGCGTAAGGCAAGTAGAAACAATTTGTGTAGGCAATTGTTGTTTTGCCTGTATGTGGTTATGCCACGGTATAAGAATCGGGTTTCTTTTGGAAATGTCCGACTGACACATCACTTAACTTCTGACGTAATCCATATTAATACGCAAATTCCAGGAGGATTTGCAATTTTCAGGTTAAGTTTGTGAGAGACGGGAACAGATTTTTAAAGCACAGAACCGAAAATGACATTTTATGAAAAAAAGGTTAATACGCTTGGGTGTTTGGGGATGGTAAATATCCTGTATTAGGAATACGCACAAGGTATTTAGCTCGCTCGCTAAAAACAATGGCTGAGATTTTATCGAAACAATCAATTGTGACCGAAACATCTTGAAAAAAATAATTATGCTTCAGGCTGTCGCCCAAAAAATAGAAATTGCCTGCCACAAAAAATTTACATTGTGGCAAAGTGTTTTTGTGACAAAACAAATCAGGCTCTGACAAGAAACCAGTCACGGTTGGCCCCTTGCTTTGTGGAATTATATGAATATGAATTGCAGTATGTACAGAACTTCCTGAAAACGTTTTCAAATCTGTAGTGGAGAAATATGTTGATTTCGTAAGTAGAATCAACGAGTCTTAAAATATGAGATTTAAAATATGTTGTGGTTGGAATATAGTTGAGATGCACGCTAAGCTCTGTGACGTTCTTTCTCCTCTCAGTGGTTGCACATGCATGCAGTGCGATGCGGAGTAGTATCAACGTATCACTGAACAGCAAGGCCTGCACAAAGCACGTTAAAGTGCGTTATACATGAAACGCAGACTACTCCTAATCTCCTAGTCAATCCGTGGAGATCCAGTTAGAACTGATGTTTAACAACCCAAGATTGTCGTAAAAGGTTTTGTCAGGCTCGCTGACTTGGTAGATGCATGTCATCGTGTCCCAATTGCGTAGATTGATGCTTACGATATTAATCACTGGGTTTGGAGTCGATTATTTACTAACCGACGTAATATAGCTGGAATATTGCTAAGTGCCGTGTAAAACAACAAAGATTCACAACAATTGTAATCCTAATCTGGTTCCCGTAGACTTTCGGAGAAATACCAAATAGTGAATGAAAGATGAAAGTAAATTAATACAGCAGTCAATATTCCAGCTAAATCACGAAGGCCTTGAAAATGATCAAAACCGGAATAGACAAATCAGTGGTTGATATTATGACAATCGTCCAACGCCATCAATGAAATGAAATCGTTTCAGATCACCCGGTCCTAACTGCTCTTACGAGAAGCATAGGTTACATTGTGTCAGTTCTATTACAGCATCCGATACGTTCCAAATAATGAGCGAGTGGCATGTAGTTTAATACTAGTATTTGTTGACATAGTTGTCTTCTGGGAAATATTTGTTGTGAAATATAGAGAGAAAACACAGTTACGTATTTAGTGTAAGATTGTTGCTATAAAACGTGCCTAGTAACAATCAGCAGTCGTCATGTCAGGCGTTGCTCCTTGTATCCTTCTGACGCATAAAGGGAGTAAAGGTCACTAACAGAGGTGCCGAAATTATTTGTTTCCTATGTGAGAAACCAGCACCACATATTTCTGTTGACTGTTTCTAAATACCTTGAAAAGGTTCATGCAAATATACTGAGGGAAACAAATTAGGGAACACACGAAAGTACATGTTCCTTTATTTTTATCTAGGCCTCGTCACAAGCTTTGTGTTGCACTGTTGGTGAAATCTAGACATAAATAAAGTACCAGTGAAAGGAAGTGGTGTTCCCTTATTTGTTTCCGTCATTATACATGGAAATGACAGTACTACATTTCTTGGTTCTAAAATGTTGATGAGTCAAAACCTGTCCGTTTGCATTGAAGGAAGGCGGGTAGCCTAGTGGATAAAGGCTTGGCTTGTTATGACGATGACGTGGCTTCTATACCCCACATAGATGCAATTTGTGAGTCCTGCTTCTGGTGATCACCTTCCTTATGACATGAATGTATCAAATAAGTCTTCAGCAACCGTAAAAAGCCACTATGCTTGTCGTAAGAGGCGACTAACGGGATCGGGTGGTCATGCTAGCTGACTTGGTTTGATGTCATCGTATCCCAATTGCGTGGAACGATGCTCATGATATCAATAACTGGATTGTCTTGTCCAGACTCGATTATTTACAGACCGTCGTCATAAAGCTGGAATATTGCTGAATGCGGCGTCAAACAACAAACAAACTCTAAGGCAATACGTTGCAGATACAACCAGAAGAAAGTAATTTGAAATTGGGAAATATCTGTGAAATTTTTTTAATGTGCAATAATGGTATTGTTATTAAGGGTGTATTCACACGTTTAGCCAAGCAACTGCATATCTTTTTACATTCTCTTTAGCTACAAATACGTATACATTGGTATTCCGGGATAGAATAGGCCCAGAAACCAACGCTTGTCGTTAGGGCCGACTAAATTGACCGGGTGGTCAAACTCGATAGTAGTCGTATGGCAGAGGTGAATATCTTATATTTGTTGTCGTGTTCCACTGGTGATTGGTTCGAGTTTCACATTGCCACGACTAGAGCCCCTGATCTATTTGAACCATATTAGTGCTTGTGTGGCAAGCAAAGTGGCAAGTGACTTGCTCCATGTGAACTTTGCTCCCACATTAAACTGACATCCCATCGTATGACCTGAATACTGTCGTAATGGCATAACCTCAGGAAACTCACTCTATTAAGGTGGTCCCAATAAACCTATATTTGTCGTAAGAGGCGACTTTTCGTGGATCGGTTGGTTGCTTTGGTTGAGAGCATGTCTTCGTACCCCTGTGGCGGGGGACGTTGCTCTCAATATCAATCACTGGTAAAGCTGATCCAGAATTGATTATTTGATTATGTGGGTATTCCAATCTTAACGATTAATAGTTTCTAGATACAAAAGACGAAAGTCGCGTCACATGCGATGTTAAATAATTTCACACTTACATACATAATTCTAGACTTTACATTTTCTCATTCAGTAATTTTCAACATATAGTTTTACTTTCACTATCACATGACTGCAGTGTTCTGTCAGTGTATGTAACTTTATCGAGGATATATTACGTGTATCCGTCAACATAGGCGATACTATTGCAGTACAGGCACTTCATGAATCTGTAGCCTGGTCAATACGGACACTCTGAAGTAATCGTCTTATAAAGATTTGAATGAGATGAATCATACTCTACGGACCAGTCATGTGTTCAGGTCTCCTCTTCATATCTGGTGTAGGTAAAGACAGTAATGTACCTATTCCGACAGTAATGTTTTCTCTAGTCTTTCAGATAACAACCATCACAATCCTCAATAGGAGGGCAGCCTGCTGACTCCCCAGCCATGAAGCCACGCTGCAGTACAGGTAACCACAAGGAGACCATGATGATCTCCAGTTCACTCAAAAGTTAAACGAAACATCAGATATGATGAACTGGGGAACATTTGTGTCAAGCCTAACAACGATTAATACTGATACCCCAAGGAAACGGTACCGTGTAATTGTTACACTATTGCACATGTACAAGTACCGAGTTGGGAGCACGGTTGATCAAGTCGTCAAAGATACCAGAACTCGATATGCAGAGGTAATTCTCCTTGATTATGATCGATGGTTTGTCAGCACTGTACTTGTACTCCTGGGTCGCATCCCTGTATCACCTTGAGCTTTCCTCAATCTTTTCAACACTGAGCTGACACGCCGAGGCGTCTAAAATACCGTTCAAAGAGGCGTCAAGCCAAACCCGCAGACACACGTTGAACAGTACACTCTTCCTGTTTTCCTACGTTTTCACAGGATTAAAATAGTTATTACCATGTACATTTCAAATATGTGTCTGTATGAGAAATACTTATAGTGCTTCTCATAGGGTACAGATGCTAACAGAAGAGTAACACGCTTTTGTTTGAATTCGGCGGTATGGGTGATATGGATGGTGTGGGCGGTGGCGTGAGTGGTATGTTTGGTGGTATGGACAGTGGCATGGGTGCTGGTATGAACGGTGGTATGGGTGGTATGGGCGACGGTATGGGTGGTATGGGCGGTGGGATGGGTGGTATGGGCGGTGGGATGGGTGATATGGGCGGTGGGATGGGTGGTATGGGCG